GGTGATCTAATAGTTAATATCTTTAAAATATTTATTAAATATAAAGATAACAAATTTCAAAAATTTATTTAATGAATTAAAATTTAACTAAAAATACAATATAATAATAAAACAAAATAATTAAATAATTAAAATAATAAAAAAAGAATACAATATAATTAGTATTGAATATAAGAAATAAAACAAAAATATCTTTAAAAAAACTCTTTCTTACTTTTTCTCAAATACTTAAAAAAATTTTTTTAAAAAAACTTTTAAGTTATTTACTTTTTTGTTTTTTTTGTTTTGTTTTTTTTGTTTTTTTTATTTTTGTTTTTTTTTTCTTGCTTTTTTTTTTCTATTCTATAAACTTCTTTTTAAACTTTTTTTTTTCTCTTTATTTATTTTTTCTTTTCTATAGAAATTAGATTTTTTTTTACTTAAAAGTTTTTTTTAGACCTTTTTTTTTTTTTTGAAACACTATTTTATTTTATTTTTTAATATTATAACAAAAGTCAATAAGCTTAAAGTAATAATTAAAAAAAAAATTAATATTAATCAAATAAATTAACAAATAAATTTATATTTAAAAAAAGTAAATAAATATAATATTTTTATTGTATCTAATTTATAAGTTTTTATTAATATTATAATATTTTGTTTATATTTTAAAAAATTTAGATCTATAAAAAAGAAATAAAAATATAAAAAGCTATAATTTTTGGTTGAATAAATAATTCAAGTAAGTCAAAAACTAAATGGTTTAATGGATTTTTAAAAAACCATAATCTTATTTTTTATTATTTATATAAAATAAATATTGTTTATAATATAATAATATATAAGACTAAGAATATAATCCATATTTATATTGTTAAAAAATAATTATGTTATTCAAGATACTTTTTTCAAACAAGCAAAACTATTTTATATTAATAATCAAAATGAATAATATTTCTTTACTTTCATCACATATACTGTATAATTATTTTATTATTAAAACCAAATTTACTATTGAATTCAAAATTAAAATTAGAATTAAATTCAAATTTCATTCAAAACTCATTTTTATCTTTTTTTAAAGAATAGTTATATGTATATATGTTTGTTATTTTTAGAAATACAGTTTGGTTCAAAAAAACTAGAATAAATTATATTTCTAATTTTACTATAATTTACAGTAATAATTATGTAATAAATAAAATATTATAAAAATTTATATGTGCATATATATATTTGAAAATAGAAAGAATAAGTTTACTTAATAAACTTTTTTAAATATCATAAATAATATATATTAAGAGTTTTATTTAATTTAAATTATTATTTATCAAATTATAAGAAAAATTCAATTATGGTTTTTTTTTGGATCAGACTGTATATCGAAATTCATTTTTTATTTACAGTGAATCATGTTTTTTTAAAAAAGTTTTTCTTGTAAGATTATACCTAAGAAAAATATATACTTGGGAAAACTTTATTGCACTATAAATTTATTTAAAAATACTGTAGGTTTAAAAAATCACAGTAAATACAGCGAATGTTTCAAGCCGCCTTACCTGATCTAATACAGGGTAAGCTTATTTAGCAAACTGCATAAAAAACAAAAAACAAATAATCCTTCGCTATGCTTCTAACCAATTATTGGATATGCTGTATATGTATAATTTATTATGTGCATGTTCGCATTTTATCTTGTTTGTATCGTTGTTGAAGCTGATGAAAGATCAAGTTAAAAGAGTTTGATCGTTCAAAGACCGATTGTGAGATGAAAGAATTATGTAAAACAACACATTGTGAACATACTACTATTTTTATTTTTTATTAACGCTCGTTTTTCTCAAAGACAAAGAAATTATTTTCCGAAATGGGATTCCTAAGTTCAGGACCTGCATTCGATGTGAATATTCAGAAGAAGTTACATGCACACAATTGTTGAATCTGTTATGATCATGTATGGGCCCTGATGGTCATGTGGAGAATAATATACGGGTTGATCACTTTATCCAGGTATGAAGTGTCATGTGGTTAAGGAATATTTAACGAGCCTCTCTCAATGTATGTACATTGTGATTGGCAGTCGTTGAAAACAAAGCCTTTTCACCATAGACAAACGCCACAAAGGTAATCTCCGTTTGACTTCCCATATGGGAGTTTAACCTCACCGCATACAATACTCTGTCAGAGGGGGGATGTTGCATAAAAAACGATCATGCAGATGAGATGATAGACGTACGTAATTAAAAAAAAAAAAAAACGTGTATAAAGATCCTTAATATAGTTTAATTCAGGTGCACCCATATCTGATACATGAAAGGAGTTGTTTTCAAAGAAAGACGGCAACCCCTGGAACTTTTATTTGGAAATAATAAACTTATAATGATTTCACCTTCTTATGCTGTGCTGACGAAAAAACAATATCTTTTTTCCTCTTCTTTCCGTGTTAGGCATCAATGCATCAGAAAAGTGTATGCGATCGAAACTAGGACACCTGAGAAGGAGAGCAGAAAACAAGATCACGTGAACTTAAGATCCAAAGCGCAAAAAAATAAAAAAAAAAATTCATTGCTCATTTGCATCGATTTGCTTTTTTGAGAAACCATGTGCGAATGGATGCGTAACTTGATTAAATTTCCCGATGCGAACATCACGTACTTCATCCCACGTTTGAGATATACCATTTATTTCTTCCAATAAGTCTTCCAGATGACCTATTGTTCGCTTCTTTGAGCATTCATTGTTTCACCTATATGATGCAGGAGACATAATAAGGGTTTCGAGATCCAGAGGGAAAAAAAGTCAGGGGGTCCATGAAGAAAGAAAGGTGAATATTTAATGATTAATCTAACAATCAGTATAAACCAAATGCAAGATGTGATCATTCGAAAAGTTGTGGGCCGGAAAATGATCCCGCAAATTGGCGAAAATATCTCCGTTAAGAAGCATATCTCACGTGGCATTCGCGCATAAAGAAATCGCGTCATACGTGAGACAAATACGATGTACATTTGCGCAAGTATAATACCTCTCATTGATTTGAGTAACGAATGTGCGTTACGCACCGTGCATACTCTGAATAAAGGGACAAAAATTTCCGATTGTACACTTTTCTCTAAACGCCTCCAATCAACTATGCTGAAAATTCTTCATGATGACGTGGAAGTACGTTAACATAGTAGAGTATAAATGTCCAAACGTCTTTATTGAGGTCGACAAATAAATAAATTAGCACGCGCACTGTACACATGATGCAATCGATAAATATCGTAGTCCTGACAATGGGACCAACAATGCGAAAAAAAAAATTTGTAATTGCAGGAAAAGAGATGCGCCACATGAATAAACTATTATGTAGCTGATTTGGACATTGTTTGGAAAGGTGGTCGACTGGTGTTTGTCGCAACGAAGTCTCTTTCCACTCATTGTTTATCACCTCGGTTTTAACAAAATTTTTGGCTGACTGGTCGGTTACAAAAACAAAACCATTGTATTTTCTTTATTGTATAGTAAGTTTTACCAATTTAATCAACTTGCATGCATTACGTTGGTCGACAAACTCTATAAATATAATCCCATGCTGAAGATTTTCTCATCAAATTTTGCTTTTATATACAGTATATTTATCTATTTAATCGATTTTTTCAACATCTCGAAAGAAAAATTAAAAAGATGGAGCCGTTGGTGAATCAGAGTAAGATTCCTATGATCGCCATAACCGTTCACCCTTCGAAATATAACGGTACTCAGGACCCTGAATCGTGGCTACAGGATATTCGTTTCTTCTGTCGTCTTCATGGAATTGATGATGAAGAAGACATAGTTTCTTTTGCGTTGCTTAAAGTTGACCCAATGATTCTAATTCCCGAAAAGACGGTTTCTTTCTCCGGTCTCATACGAGCGCTAAAGTCTCACGTCACCTATCCGGTGATGAGTGCGTCCGCGCTTCATAGCCTTCGACAATTGAAGTACAGTTCAAATATGGAGATGACAGATTTCATATCAACGTTTCTTTCCCTGTGTAGAAGTGCCAACATCACGAATCTCATGGAACAAAAACATTACCTTTTAAACTCCTTGCACGATGACAACATCAGAAATATATTGGCGAATAAATTTAGAAATGTTGATGAATTTGATTGGGTAATAAAAATTTTTCAAGGCATTCTCTATGAATACCCGTTGCACCAAATTCGCTATGGGTCAAGAATCACCATCAAGCATTGTGTCACCGGCCAATATCTGTCGCATGGTGAACACAAGCCAGTTGAGCCGGGTTCTCAGAATTCAAGGGTAAATAAAATCCCCTTCATCTGCTGAACTGCTTCAATTTCTGTTATTCTAACAATTGATGAATTTTCAATAGGTCTATTGTAATGGATGCAAACCCAAGGAAAACGAGGTGTGGATTGTCACATCGCCGTACGGTGAGAACAAATCGCACGGTGATTCCACACACATCAATTCCCTCATTGGTCTATGTCACGAGAAATCTCGAGCAAACTTATCGGCAAGCGACAAACCGGGTAATCATGCTGGTATGTTATAATACATTTGTTATGTTCAATTCATCTCCGTGGGTAATGACTCACTTTTTTTATTTTACTTTCGCTTTCACCTCACCAAAGCATTTGCGTCTTCGGGAAAGGACATAAATTGCAATTGGGTCGTGAAAAGACACACCACCGAATCCGGTTGCCATAATGATCTAAATGGTGCGTGGGCGATAGGGGACATTATCATTTTGGAAAATGCAAATAGTAAGTTACCATTGTACAGTAGAGCTCAAGATTACGAAGGTAATCAAGAAGTTTCACTGGAGGGTGATGGATACGAAGAAAATAATAAGGTACTGTTTCTCTCCTCACCTGTTGCTCGTTCATTTCTCTTTCTCGTCGGTCGATGCTGACTACTTACTTACCTTTTCGTTTTAGTGGTACGCCGAAATAATTGGATAGATTCTAATTCACAATACACTATAAATTCATTATAATAATATACAATATATATATATATATTTCTTTCCTTTTTTTTTTTCTTTTGTACAAAGTCATTAATCACACTTAGTATTTCATCACGTGATGATTCTCCAGTAAGAATCTCACATTTCACATCTGTAGAAATATTACTTTACCTCTCGCAAGCAACAATTCAAGTATTTTTATACTATATATTATTATTAACCTTACGGTAATCACATTTGTTTTTAAAGAATTTAATTTAGATGCCAAGTAAAGTAGCAAACCAATAAAAATGAGCCAACGTTGCTGGAATTTAACGGTTGGATATCAAACTTTAAAAAAAAAACTTCAATTCACAAAACTACGTAATACGTGTGTTGAAGATTCACGCGTGCATGTGAAAGAACACTGACACAATACAGTATATTCGCTGTAAAGTTGTTATGTGTTCACTTGATCTACAGGAATGTGGCGTCGAAATATGTTGTGCACGATAATTTTGAGTACATGTTAATCTACGAGTTTTCTAAACATGCCGTGCATACAGTATACATATTAATTAGACGAAAGCATATGTCTTAATTGCTCGAACCGTCTTGTCCATTGTATTTTTTTCTATTGTTTTTTTTTTTGTTTCCCGTTTATCTGCCTGAGATGATAAAGGGAAGGATAATGGACGCTAGGTACATACCAACACACATCTGTACATGCGCATGGCGCGATTACGTAAGGCATCTAAAGCACAAATATTTCTAGCATAGGCACTGCCCATTTTTGGAAGAGATCTCTATTACAAGAATTTATACATGCGCATAAGCCATGACGCTCGAAAAACCATATGTCACTCGCGTGAGCGAGAGCATTGACGTTTGACGCACTTGATAAATTCTTTCTAAAAAAAAAACAAAACCAGATTGCAATTCTTAGGTTCAATGCCAACAATGTCAACAATGTCAATGAGGATTCATAGGTATCTGTCGTATCTATGTGTTGGTTGTATTCTATGATTGAATTCTTTGTTATACATGTTTGCTATTCGTAACCATCATCTAAGAAAGGAAAAAAAGGAATGAAACACTATGGGTAACCACCCTTATAGTAATGTGATAATAATATGGAATGAAAACCTGTTATTGATTTAGGCACAAAGGGATTTCAGGAGTTTTATGATTATACGGGCCTTATTCTGTGAATATCGCACCGTCGATCAATAGTCGGCGATCATTTATAATTCCATTTATTTAATCTCCCGTCCATCTTTACCATCAAAATTTGATCTTATCGCACAATGGCTGAACGACTTCTATCATCAATCATCAGAAAAGAACACATCGCAAAAGAACCCATTATACTAAATGTTGGAGGCATCAAGGTATCAATTGTCAAATTGGTTGTCATGTGTCTCATTGAACTTTTGTTTTTTTTTTGCTTCTTTTCTCATATACACTTTGCACCCGCCGGATACAGTATGAAACCTACAAATCGACTTTGACGGCGCATCCCGAAACTTTTCTAGGCACCATGTTCCAAGACAGAGTCAGATCTTTGATGCTCGCGAATAATGGTAACGAATACTTTATTGATCGAAATGGGCATGTATTTCATTATATCATGCAGTTTTATCGTACCGGAAAGATTTTTTGGTCGGAGCAAAATCGAGGTACATGAGACTGATTCCTTGAAACAATAAAATGTCCTTTTTACGATGAAATTCACCTGATTAATCTACGAAATTTCCTGTAGGTCATACGTACGTTTCTTATGAAGAGCTGCTAGAAGAATTAGATTATTTTCAAATTCCCGTTTCTTCAGCTTCTTCCGCAAAGATTTCAGGACAACGATCGCATCGTTCGAGAATCCTATCATCGACTCTAACCGACTTTGTTAATTCCATAGACAAACTCATCACAGTGATCACCGACTGCACGGATCCTAATGAGCTACTCAATTCCTCCTCAGACTACTCGTGGAACATTAACATTTCCTTTGGAAAGCATGAACGAAGCATATTCTCATGGTGGGCAACTTTGAACGGCAAACCAATATCATTTCGCGAAGGTCACGAACCGAATTTCCTGTCCTACAAAGGTTTTAGTTCGGGATGCAATTTGTTGGAAGAGTTTGGCGATGAGATTGGTAATTATTTTGAAGAAAATATCGAAGGGTTGAGTTGGAAAGTTTATGAAGGAAAGAAGACGTCCAAAAAAGGAAACGAAACGACTCACGAATTCTCCGGATTGAGCATTTTCATCAATATAACCAATGTATTTGATCATGAGGAGATTGTCGATGGTTCCTGTTTAGCTTAGTTCTCTCTAATCATGTAATTCTCAGGGGGACGAACGTTACCTGTGAGATAGTGTTCGCCTCCATTCACTGTATATTTTCATTTCAAACATTGCTATTATCTATTATCGGTGAAGTCGCATTCACCTTGTTGTATATTTTAATATAACATCATCAATATTAATTAAAGATACACACACTCAATTCCCCATTTACTCTAAATATGTTGTGGCGTAGTAAAAACCGGATTGATCATCGCACGTACGTACTTTGTATCACAATAAATATCGGTTTCGTGTCCACGGGAAGGACATACTTGATCGGAAAACGAACGCCGATAATGTTCGGGCATCTTGCTTTTCCACAAAATACTTTGCAATTGAGTCGCACATTTCCGATAAATTTTGCCTATCTTAAATCCAAGAGGATTCCAAACCTTACCAGTCTTTGGATAAATTCACATTCGTTTCATTGTTCTGCCATCAACATTATCGAAGATTCCTCTAAGAATGTGACCAAGGTCATTATTAAAAAACCCCATCGATACACGCGAAAATTTCGAAAGGTCAAACCTTCATCTCCAGTGACATCACCAACCCCATCACAACTATTCTCAAATAGATTGAAGAGTCTATTATTTAATGCAAATAATATAGGGAACGTACACGAAGAAAACAAATGCAACTCCAAAACCAGCTTAAAGAAAGAAATCATAAGTACCTATAGCGAAAGCGATAAAAACAGTGTGGGTGATGAAAGTGCCTTCAAAAACGTTGTTTTTGTTTGCGATAAGTCCAGACTTAACACAAGAACAATAAAAAAATCAATACACGAACAAAGTCTAGTGGAAAGAAGAAAAAGGTCTGACCGATACGAGAGAAATAAACTTAGATTTAAAGATTATAGGGAGATTAATTTTGAATTGTTAAAAGGTACTTGCAGATTTTAAATGCGCAATGAAATTGTCACTTCCTGATTTAAAAGAGTAGCACGGTAATAGATATGTGCACATGTCTTTACTCAGATTTTCCACGATGGTTAAAAGGGTTGAAGTATAAAAAGTACGCATGGTGCTTCGAATCAATGAATTGGAGAGAAATTATTGAGTTGGATGAGTTGGGGTTAATAAAGAGAGGTGTTTATAGATTGGTTGTGAGAAGAAATCTGTTGATGGAATTTATGCACATCAAAAAGGTTTTGGTAAGTGCATAGGTTTCATTGAAAATACTTTTGATGTTCACTCAAACCTAAGATAATGAGGACGATCTTATTCATTTCAGAGTCGACTGAAAATCAACGCAATTTTATTTATTTAAATTCTGATTCTGAAGGCAGATATTAATAGAAAGGGCCTGACGATCGCGGATGATTCCTCGCCAGTACAGGCATCTTCCAATGCCATATCATTGCATGCGTCGTCAAATCCTCTGCCGGTACAATTATCTTCAAACACTTTGCCAATACAGTTATCCCAGGCAATAACAAACCACCAGATTGAACTGGATTCCTCTTCCACCTCATCAAAAGTTGATGATAAGGAAAATGTGAACCTTCAGAGAAATCAGCAAAGTCTTGATGATCTGATGTCAAGGAAAGAGGAAGAGGCAACACGTGATGTTGTTCACGACGAGCTTCTCAGCCAATTGTATTTTTGTTTGATTCGACATAGAAATCAGAAGTAATTCAAACCTCTAGATAATTGAAATTTTTCATTATGTCCTTTTTACAAAGTTTCAGTGAACACAATAATCAGAAAGATATTATTTGATATCACTATTCAAGTCAATGGTTAAGTTTGTTCTGATTATTCTGATTATGTAATTTTTTAAGATTTTAATAGAGATTCATTATTTGCTTGTTGTTTGATTGTATTTTTAACAAAATTTTTATTGTGTCACGATTCTATTTTTATTTTGCTTACCTTACATTTTAATGCATAAATTGATTGTAAATAACAAAATATTTTTAATTGTTGATTGCAATTATAATGCAAATGTTTTTATTATATTAAAATATCAAAATAAAAATAATAACAAAAACTCAAATATTTTATATTGTATATTTTAAAATTTCTAATATTTTAATAACTAACAAATTAAGATAAATAAATAAATTACTAATCTATAATATTTTATTTAGCTGTATCAGTTTATTACTTTATAAATAAATTTATACTTTAAATAAAACTATTATATAAGAAACTAAAATTTCATTATTAATTTCTATTATTTAAATCTACAATTTCAAGTTTTATGATATCATGTACAAAAAGTATTCAATGTAAAATATTATTATAAGAATTAATTGAAGTTATCTTAATTGTCTTTTAATATTAATTTAAATTATCTTAATTATATTTTAATATTAATTCTTAAGAAATATTATTAATTTAAAATATATTACTGCTATTTTTATTATTTTTATTATTTTTATTATTTGTAACTATAATATTTTCAAAATTTTTTTTTTGATTTATTAATTTGTATCAAATTTTTAATTAATACTTATAACTTTATAAATTTTTGGTTTTAAGTTTATAAGATTTTATAATAAAATATATTATAATTTGAAATATATTGATTTGAAATTCACTTTTTTTTTTAAAAAATTAGAAAATTTATTATTTTAATTTTAATTTCTAAAAAAAATTCAAACAGAGTTTCTAATAATGTCATTTTGATATTACTTCAATATCAATTTGATACTTAAATTTATTATAAATTCATATTAATAATTTCCAACTTATATATTAAATTTATTATAGGCCAATACTATTTTTATGTTATTTTAATACCAGCTTAATATTTTTAAAAATTTTACTCAAACATATATTAGTTCAAATTAGATGATTTAATTGTCAAATTACAGTCAATTAAATTCAAATTTATTAATAAAAGTTTATACTGAAGTTTTGTTGTTTGATTTAATTTATGTCATTCAGTACTTAAAAAATACATAATAATTCAACAAAAAATATATATTATTTGACAAAAAATAATTATTTGATAATAAAATCATTTGACAAAAAAATATTTCTAATTAAAAAATATTTAGCAATAAAGTTATAATATTCTATAATAAAAATTATAGCATTCAAAATAAATTTTATTATTTAATTATTAAGTTAACAAAATCATTTGATATCATATATTTTGGTAAAATCAAATTATATATTTTCAATAAAAAGATTGCATTTATAATAATATTTGGCAAAATTTAATTGCTACTTAATAAATTTATTAAAAATATAAAAAATATAAAATTTGAAATAATTATTTACTAATTATTCATTAATTATTTGCCCATTATTTATTAAATTCTTTCTCTATTTCTTCATTTGAATTCTCTTGCTTATAATTATTTTTTTTTTTTACTAATTTTGTCATAACTATTATAACTCTTGAAAATTTTATAATACTAAATTTCCTTTACTTTGAAATACTTTTTTATAGTTTTTGTACTTCTTGTATTTCTTTTGCTTCTTGTGATTTTCTTTAATTTTCTTCTTTAATATTGCTTTTCAAATTTTACCTATTCATATTGTTTCTTTTGTTTAATACATTTCTCTCTCTAAATACATAAGTGATTTCTTATAATCAGATATTTTTCATCTTTTATATTTTTTTACTGATTGTTTATTTTTTTTATTTTGTTTTATTTCTTACTCTTTATTCTCTGATTTATAAGTCCAACTTGGCAAGTTTTTTGATAGGGTTATATTGTGACAATAAGATTCACTATAGTTTTGTTTATAAGTCAATTGAAATAGTTAAATCAACTTTAAATATTCATCCAAATTTTCCAATAAAATTTTCAACTATAAAATAATTAGTAATGAATTAATTATTCAGTATAAAATCATTATTAAAAAATATTTCATTAAAATATTAACTACAATCATATACATTTATTCTTTTCTTTTCATTATTTTCTAAATCAGTTTTACTTTTTTTGGCCAAATAAACTTTTGATTCTTTAACTATATCGATTAATTCCTTCTGATATTTTGCAATACTCTTGAACTTTTTATCAATAAGTGACTATATACTTTTGATTCTTCATATCCTTTTCTTTATTATTTAATAAAAATTAATACAAGTAATATAATATAAATATTAATTAATTTTACTTTATTTAATCAGCTATTTGCATATAAGTAATAATTGTCTATATCTAGTTTTTCTATTTATGTCTTTTTATATCTTTCTCTTTGATAATGATATAAAGTATCTAACTAATTGTTTAGCTGCTTTTATAATGAATTAAAATATGGTGTTATTAATTTTGATACTTGTTTAAAAAAAAGTTATATCTTAAATATATATTTGATATAATCAGAAGCCATAGGTGATAACAAAGAATATCTTCTCTGAGATTCTAAATAAAAATATATATAGGATATTCAGGTGTTTTACTAAATTCCTGAAAGGTAATATGATCTTTTTCTAATGATTAGTCAAAAAATATAATTGAATCAATAGGAGAGTAGATTTAAAACTAGTAATAGTATTTTTTTTTCCTGTGTAAGTCCTATTTGAATATGGATTCATTTTCATAATATAAATTGATTAATCAGAATAGTCAGATTGGCTTAAGGAAAAAACTAGTGATATTGAAAATAATATTCACTTTATAAAATTAATTTACATTTAGAATAGCAATAATCTATTTTATAAAGATGTTTAATATAATGGTAATAATTATATATTATTAATAAGAGTTTTATATCTAATGTTTTTAATTAATTAAAAAAAAGTTCAAAAAAAAATTTATAAAACAATAATAAAATAATATCAAAAGAAATTAAAATAATAAGAATAACTAAACAATAGTATTGTTACACTTAATTTTCATCCAAGATTTTCAATACCTCTTGTTCAATTTTTACTAGTATTGATCCTTGAAATGTTAGCTGTTTTAAAATAGTTTTGTATTACAGATTTGTTACTGCACTTTTGGCATCTATTGTATATCAGAAAATTTCTGGAAAAATCTTCAAAAATCTTCAAAAGTTTTTAAAATAATAAACTCTGGAAATTTTTATTTTAAAAAAATTTAAAAATCTTTGAAGTAATAATAATTATATTCATCAGGAAATTTTTTAGCAAAGATTTTTGAAAATCTTCAGGTGTAGACCTTCGGAGGATCTCCGTCATTGTTAAAAGACTCTGGAGTAAAAATTTATATATTAAACTTCAGAGATCTTTGATTTAATTTAATAATAATAAACTATATTTATATTTATGTATTCAAATTTAATAATATTCAAATTTAAATTTAT